ATCTCCCATTAATTTCATCATATTCGAATCGGATTCGAATCAAAATTCAATCCATTGACAGCCGATTCGAATCAAAATTCAATTCATTGACAGCCCCATAATCTCGTAGTTGTGTATTTTTTCATTTTCTTAATGTTAATTCCCTGCCCACCAAGAAGTAAAGCCCTACAGTATTTAGCCCACCCATGCCCCATTTCTAATTACAACCCATTCACATTTTGTATCAATTTTCATTTCAATTTCCAAGTTCCAACCCTTCCTTTTAGCTCCGCCCGTCCGCCACTCTGCCGCCTCCGCTCCGCCTACTCCTCCCACTCAGTCCGGCGCATCTCAGTCTCCGCCTCCATTCGCGCTATTCCAGTGGTTGTTTATGTCTAAGATTAAGCTTGTCCCCGAGGTGTCGAACTCTGCCGATAGTTCATAAATGCGCTAAAATCCAATCCGCCATTATTATATTTCTACCTGCACATGCTGCACTAGTAATTAATTTTTATGATTTCAAATTGTGCAAATTGTAATAATGTTTGTATTGTTTTCTTCTTTTTAACAAGTGAAATTAGCACTTTCCTCTAGAAGCGGCACTGGCACTGCAACACATTGCTTTTCAATTGATTTTGCCACCAAACAGACGACTTCCAGTTAATTGCTGCCTCAGGCCCTCTGTGACTGTGAGTTTCTTATTCTGTCACTGGAATTTGGAAATAGTATATATTGCCCTGTGAAATTGTGAATTGCATTGTGAATTGATTATAGTATTGGCCTTTTAGATGTGAATTGCTTATAGTATTGCTATGTGTGAAGAGAGTTGTCCTGTGAATTGCTTTTCTTTTGCTTCCCGTAGTAATTGGATATCAAATGTTTAAATTCAAATATCATTTTATGTCCAATGAAGAGATACTTTCAAAGAAAAACAAATGTAGAAAATGTTGATGGCGGGGGATATCAAATTATGAAAACTCATAAGGAACAAGTGCAATATATAAACTATGTCATTTTTAGTATTTTCGTATTATTGTTTTATAATTTTATCATGATTAAATCCATGACCAAAAATTCGACGTTCGGCGTCGATAAAATTGTGCCTGCATTGAATTAATATCCTGGCTCTGCTCTTGGTTAAAGGATATTAAATTCAAAGCAAGCTTTTGATATTGGCTTAAGTTCGACGCCCCTTGCTGGTTGTTGATGAGAATTTGGAAGCTCAAAGTTTCACAAAGGTTCAGATATTCGTTTTGTGATTCTTCACAATGGGATCTCGACTAAAAATAATTTAGCAAGACGGGATTTGGAGCTGAATTCCCAACAAAAATGGCTTGGAGGAGAGGAAACCTGAGTTCATATGATATGATGCTTAGTTGTGAATGTGCTAAATCGATTTTGAAGCTTAGTGGCCACTGGAGTTTAATTAAATTAGTATTGCTACCTAAACTTGATTATTGTCAAGTTAGTATTTTCGAGCTGGTGAATGGAAAATTTTTGGCTACGAACGATTGCTTAATGTGGATGATATGGAAAAATATGAATATGAGTTTAGGGGATGTATTCTAGATGAGATAAGGTCATCTTTGTGGCTTCACTACTTTTGGGTCGTAACACTAAGGACGTATTCGAGATGTGGAGTCATTACTTTTTGGACATGAGGGGTGAGAGTTTCACTTTGATGAGGGATAATTGCTGGTTATAAATAGACAATGAAGCAAACTTTTTAGGATTTTTAACTGCGATGCTTGTTAATTGAACTTGTTGATAATTTTCTTAGGATCAAATTATCATGCTTTATAGGATAATATGCACATGGTTGATTCATTTAATCTTTATTCTTGTTTTACTTAATATTGATTGATTCTTGTGCGTTTTGGCATTTCTCATTTAGTAGACTTGAACTTGGGTTTCACAATTGAAGATGGTTTCATTTTTCTTCATTGGAAAAAGCTTCTAAGTCGAAAAATTTGCGGTCTAAAAATCTGCAATTTGCTTCGTTCAATAAATCAATATGCACATCTCACTATTTGTTGTCTTATCGGCCAAAATAATGAATTGTTATTGTCTTGTCGAACGAGAATTTGTTGAGAAGATAAAAGTAGATTTTATTATAGATGAATTTTATGTTTAAAATGACTTCAAATTCAGTTTTTAAAATCCTCATTGAAAATAATTTTAAAATAGATGAATTTGACTTTTAGTATTAGATATTAATTTAGTATATCGAACATCTTAAATTTCAGCCTATGTGCTCTAAATTTCTGGATTCGCCCCTGGTTTGTGTAACTTGAATAATTGAATTGATTGTAGAATTTGCATTATGTAACTT